GGCTTTGGAAACCCTCCAGCAAAGTTCAGGCACTTGAGGGCAGAGGAAATGCCTGAGGAGGAACTGCTGGATGTGCATAAAATAATCAGCCTTGGAAGGGGAAAAAAAAGGGGATTTTGAGAGGAGATCTGCTTTTGGGATACAAGGAACTAAGGGAGATGATCCAGAGCTGTGGGGGGACAGCAGGAGCATTTGTGCTGCAGGTGGGAGGAGGGAGTTCTGCTCAGATACCTGGAATGTGGGACAGGCTGGGTGGGAGGAACAGACGTGGATTCAGGAACAGAACGGGATCTGGGTGGTGAAGGGGGCACTGCAAGCCCTGCCAGAGACAGTGGGAACCAATTCCTTTCTCCTGTCCATTCCTGCACTTCCCTGCACTTTCATTTCAAAGGAATGAGGAGCCCAGCCCTGGTGACAAAGAGCTCTCCCTTGACCTCCAGCCAGAGGAGGGAAGAGGAGCCCTTGCTGAGGGTGTGAACTTCCTTCATTCCCAGGGCAGGGTCACACCAACTGTGCAGCATTTTAATCAAAATCAAAGCTTCCCTCTGAAATCCCTGGGCTTAGTTATAAAATACTTCACCTCCATCCTGCAGGAAAAAGCAGGAGGGTTTTAAGAAGTTTAAATGTTACAGGAATGTGTCTTCCCAAAGACAAACCATGCAGTAAATGCTCTGGGTCAGTGGCTCTCTGATATCTGTAGTTGTTCAGGATTTCTGTTAAATAATCTGGGGGTTTTTAAGACTCACCACTGTTAACAACAAACCCAGAACGTGTGTAAACACAGGAGTGTGTGCATCCTGAGGAAACCTTTGCAGGCACAAAGGGAAGTTGTGCACCGAGCCAAGTGTTATCTAATAATTCAGCTATAGTCCCCAAAGCTCTGAATTCCCAGAACCACAGACTGCTTTGGGAGAAAAGGACCTTAAAACCATCTTGCTCCATCCCCCTGCCACGGGGGAACACCTTCCACAGACCAGGCTGCTCCAAGCCCTGTCCAGCCTGGCCTGGCACACTAAAATAATCCTGAAATTCCTGGTTAGGCTGAGAAGCTGCACGTTGTTAATGAGGCTTTCACGCTCTCGCTGTGGTATTTTGGAATGCAGGAGCTGATCTGGCTGTTGGACACAGAGCCTGGTGCCCCCCTGCCCCAGGGAACAGCTCTGTGCTGTTGGGAAGCACAGGGGGCAGGAGTTTGAGGGGTGTCTGTGGGAAGAGGAGCCATAAAGCCCCCACTCAGCCCTGCTGTGACTCAGCACACAGGGAGGAGCTGTTTGCTTTGGCAGAGCGTCCCTGCCAACCACAGGAGCTTCCTCCGGCCAAGATCTTTGGTCTCAAGAGAGATTTATGTGCAAAAAAGGCTTCCTCAGCCTTTTGCCAGCAGTTTACAGGAGATGGTGCACGAGCCCAGTAAAATCCGAGTGGGAGGGAGCGCAGAGAGCTTTATAACAACACATTCCTCAGCACATGGAGCGATTAAAGAGCTGTTTGCGTGGCTGTGTGCGACAGATCCTGCATCACACGCTGTCAGTGCCTGCTGGGGGCAAAGCACGGGCTTCTCCTTTCAGAAAATGGGGAATGGTGGAACGCTGGTGGAGTAAAAAACACGTTTCATGCTGTTAAACGCCAGGAGAGCTGAGCCCTGCGAGCTGATGGTGGTTCCACGGCAGCACTGACTGTCCTGAGTGCTCAGTGCACCTGATTGATCAGGACAGTGCACAGAGGTGAGGCCACAAGCACGACAATTTTACAGCCCCCCATAAAGCCCCGTGCTGGTTTTCTGCTGTTAAACCCCACGTTTGGGATCGTGTGGCACTTTGAGAGCCTTGATTCAGGGGCAGACAGCGATTGCATGTGGAATAAACATCCTAAAGCAGGAGTTTAACAGCAATCTGCTGGACTGATTTATTTGTGACGTGAACACTCCCCTGCAATGCATGTGGGAATCACCTCGGGCTTTGCTCATGGGGAGCAGCTCAGCCATGAAACTCCAGGCACAGCAAACAGAGATGGAGAAATGTTCTTTTTGTGCTGTTAAATATTCCAGCTGTCATTTCTTGCTCTCCCATAAAGAGCCTGGTAAACTGCAAAATAAATTCCGACCCCGGTCGGGTTTAATATGAAATATTTAAGGACAAGGCCATGAAAAGAACATGAAAAACACGCTGGCACCTTTGAAAATAAATATAATAAAATTGCATGTGTTTCAGGTTTGTGGGAAATCCCTGCAGGGTGACTGAAAGCACAGAAACCCTGTCGTGGCACTGGAAGCTGCCCCAGCTCTGCTCCACGTGAGGAATCCTCCACATTCCATCGGCTATTTTGGTATCAAATTAATTACCCTCGGTGGATGATTAGGAGCAACAGGAGGTAATAATTTTTAAATTATTTCAGGAGCTTTTAAAGTAACTTAAATAGCTTAATCCTTCCTTCTTTGCATATCTTTGTGTGATAGTAATAGAGTGTGGGAGAGTGGCATTCCTGTAATTGATACTGTTCAAAATGAATGACAAGGATTCGTGGACTTTAACACTCATCCATTTCTTTCTGAAGAATAAGAAATTCACTTAGAATAAGCAAATTCAGATGGATTTCTGGTCTCCCAAGAGCAGGAAGAAGAGAGGACAAAAAAAAGCCACCCCAAGACTTAAGGAAACCACGAGCTCGAAGTTTTCAGGGGAACACAGACTTCAAAAAAAAAAAGACAAATTCAGGATTCTTGAGTTTAAATAATCAAATTAGAGGGAGATCTGAACAATAGTCACCCTTTGAGGTCGTAAGGGCTGCCATGGCCTTGTCTCATCACTGTTTTTACAGGAAAAGGAGGGAGATTCTGTCATTTCATATTTGTTACGTATTGATACAGGAATGACCCACGGAATTTCTTCCAGTAAGGAAGCCTTGAACTGTAACATCACAGAGATTTAACAGACTAAAATGGACAAGAAGATCATAAACCAGTGCTTCAAAATCCTCCTGGTAACGTGGCAGAGGATGCCATTCTAGGCTGAGGGTTCATTTTTCCAGGACTCCTTTGTCATCCCACTTGGCACAGGCAAGTTGTCAGAAGCTCTCAGAAAGTCCTTTTGCAGAGTGAATATTTGGGTCTTCAGTGTGCAAACCTCTTGTGACAAAAGCACACAGGATGAAATGCTGATCCCCAAGGCAGCCTGAAAGATTGTGGAGATTTGGGTTAATTGATGAAACGAAGTCAACCCAGCAAGAGGGGAGGACGGTCCGAAAGCCTCGGAATGCTGGGCCCTTCCATGATCCCTACTGGCACACACAGCTGAATCCTGCCCAAAATGTTGTCATCCCACATCAGAATTGCAGTTTGAAATGTTTGCTCGCTGGGTGGTTTTGCCCACTGCTTTTCTTACGGGGTGAAAAAGCCTCTTTGAGACTCAGAAGATAAAAATCTGTTTTTCTGGATCTTCCTTTAAATAAAAGCTAAAACTGATCCCAAGTTAAAGGGGAGAGTTTCTGTGGGATCCTGATGCCAAAGTGCCCGTGTGAGTTAGTGATGTTACCTTGGTTTAAAATTCATATGAGAATATCATATTTAAAGAATAAAATTGCAGTGTTAACCAAAGCAGTGTTAAAGACAACAATAAAGCACTGAAAAGTGTGTGTTAGGTGCCTTTTTCAGCTTCAGCTACCAGTCCTCTACATTTACCTTCTCTCTGATTACTGAACTGACTTTGAAAATAGTATCAAGGATTATTTTTGGGGATAATACTCTGGTAAATAAAACTCCAGGTGCCCTGCAGGTCCCCGGTTACCTCTGAGCTCCCTCAGGTGGCAGCCAAACCCTCGAGTTTTGGACAGAAACACACGGGGTTGGTGCAGAAACTCTCAGGTTTGTAACAGAAACCCTTGGGTTTGTTGTTTTGGGGTTTTCCAAGGAAGCCTTGTGACTTAAACCCATGTTTTTCAGAGCAGTGGGAGTAAAGTGAAGGAGCTGCCTGGATTTTATAGAATCTAAACCAGCTCAGAGCACCTGAGGAGGCGACTCACTCATTTAATAACGTGCTTCTCTTTTGGCAGGTCTCTGAAAAGACACATGTTGAGTGAAAAGAAGCATTTTATGCCCAGTAGGAGTTTTCAGCTCGTTCACCACACCATTCCAGCGTGTTTTGAGAAGTTATTTTGACCTTCTTCTGTGGTTCCTGACCAAGCTGATGACAGAGTGGCTGGAAAGTGGATGTCTTGGTTCAGCATCTCAGGTAAAACTTTCTGCCACCCTGAAAAAGGTGGCAGAATAAATCCTTGGGCTTAAATTACAAGGATTTCTGCCTCATTGAGAGTGTCTTTTATTCAAAAAGAGTAAGTTTTCAACAAAAGTACTTGATGAGGCACACACAGGAGTCAGGTCATCTTTGGTGCAAGAACGTGAAATCTGGGGGGGGGGTCGACCCTTTTTACACTGAACCAATATATTTTTCAAGAGTTTAGATAATTTGGGAAGAACCTTTTGCAGCAAACAGCTCAAGCAAAACGCCTTTGGAGAAGAGAAGGTTGTGTGGAGACCTCAGAGCAGCCTTCCAGCACCTGAAGGGGCTCCAGGGAAGCTGCAGAGGGAACTTCTGCTCAGGAATGGGAGTGACAGGGCAAAGGGCAGAGAGTTCAAACCGAAAGAGAGCAGGGTTAGGTGGGACATTGGGAAGGAATTGCTGGCTGGCAGGGTGGGCAGGCCCTGGCACAGGGTGCCCAGAGAAGCTGGGGCTGCCCCTGGATCCCTGGGAGTGCCCAAGGCCAGGCTGGAGCAACCCGGGCTGGTGGGAGGTGTCCCTGATGTTGAACATTTATTTGTTTGTTTGATATTTATTATTTATTTATTTAATATTTGTTTGTTTATGTTCCCCCCCCGGCCCCCCCCCGCTGCCATGGGAACGGCTCACGTGACGCGGGGCTCACGTGACGCGCTCCTCACGTGACGCGCTCCTCACGTGACCGGGCAGCGATGGCGGCCGAGGAGCAGCGGGCGCTGCTGGACGGGGATGGGGACGGGGATGGAGATGGGGCTGGAGATGGGGATGGAAATGGGGATGGAAGTGGAAACGGGGGAGCCCCGGGCCCCCCCCGCAACCTGCCCGCTGCCTGCGACCCCCGCCGCCTCCCGCACCGCCTGATCGTGCTCGCCCTCATGTGCTTCCTCGGCTTCGGTGCGGGACGGGCGCGCTCGGCTTTGGGGTGGCTTTGGGATTTGGGGTGGCTTTGGGATTTGGGGTTTCGGGGGGCTGGCTCGGCTGTGGCGGGCTCGAGTTCGGGGTGGCGGGCTGTGGGGAGTTGGGTTGGGGTGCCTGGGGTCTGGGGGACTTGGGGTAGCGGGGAGGGAGGGTTGGTTTTAGGGTTTAGGGTGGGGATGCTCTGCTTTCGGGAGCTCGGGTGTGGGGACTCGGATTTGGGGTGCCGGGATGCGGGGACTCTGGTTTGGAATGCCTGGATTTGGGGTGGGGGGTTCAAGTGCTGGGGGCTTGGGTTTGGAGTTTGGGGTGAGAGGTGCTTGGGTTTGGGGTGCTGGGGTTTGGAGTTTGGGATGTGGGGTTTGGGGAGTGTTCAGCTCTGGGGGGTGCTCAGGAGGGGGAGTGGTGGTAATGTTTTAAATAAGATAAATGTAGGTACATGTCTGAGCTCCAGGGCAGGGTTTGGGGGGTGCTGGGTCTGGGGGATGCTGGGTCTGGGGGATGCTGGGTCTGGGGGATGCTGGGTCTGGGGGGTGCTGGGTTTGGGGGGTGCTGGGTTTGGGGGGTGCTGGGTTTGGGGGGTGCTGGGTCTGGGGTGCTAGCTTTGGGGTGCCAGGGCAGAGCTCTGAGCTGTCCCTTTTTCCCCCAGGCAGCTACTTCTGCTATGACAACCCTGCAGCTCTGCAGACACAGGTTCAGAGGGTGAGTGGCTGTCTGGGGGCTTCTGGAAATGGACACAGGGAGTGGGATATTGGGAAGGAATCCTTCCCCAGGAGGGTGGGCAGGCCCTGGCACAGGTTTTGCCCAGAGAGGCTGTGGCTGCTCCAGCCCTGGGAGTGTCCAAGGCCAGGTTGGAGCAAGCCTGGGAAAGTGGAAGGTGTCCCTGATGTTGAACAGAATGGATTTTAAGCCCCTCCCACCCAAAGCAGTCTGGGATCCTCTGAAGGACGGGCAGTGGCCAGATCAGAAAGCTCAGTGTTTTCTGTGTGGTTGTGCTTGGATCTTTACTCTGTGGCCCTGCAGTTGCCTGACAAGTTTGTTTTATTGTTTTATTTCCCCTCCCTCCTGCAGGACATGAAGGTGAACACAGCCCAGTTCATGGCTCTCTATGCCTGGTATTCCTGGCCCAACGTGGTTCTTTGCTTCTTTGGAGGCTTTCTGATAGACAGAGTGTTTGGAGTCCGGTGAGTGGGGTGTTTGTGTCGCTCCTGTTCCGTGGTTTTGGCAAACCAAAGGTGCAGGTGGCCTTTGGGCTTCGTCATACGAAGGTTTTGGGAGTTACAATGTGTTTTTTCCCGGGTGATTTAGGAGTTTCCATCAGTATAAATGAGCTTCCTTCCCTTTATGGCTTAACTAAATTGGCTCCAGGAACACCAGGCTGTTCTACCGGGTTTTTAAGGGCAGTGTTGAGCTGTACAGTTTATTACAGAGATCTTTTCCTTCTCTTCCAGGTTGGGCACCATAATATTCAGCATCTTTGTGTGTGTTGGGCAGGTAAGTGCAAGTGCCAGGTTGGGTTTTGTGTTGCCAGCAGGATTTTGAAGGAGGCAGAAGGAGCAAAGCCAAAAAAAAATAAAAACAGAAGCAGGAAGTGGGTGTGAAGTCATTTTGCAGGGCTGGGGAGGCAGAAAGGTTCCTGTTCCTGTTTGGGGTGGCTCTGGTTTGTCCCATCCTCGAATGGCACAGTTCTGATGTCCCCTCACACCTCTGTTTGCAGGTGGTCTTTGCTCTGGGGGCACTGTTCAACACCTTCTGGCTGATGGACGTGGGCAGGTTCATATTTGGGTGAGTGAGAAGGGCACATTTGTGCTCCCTGAGGTGAGGCCCATCCCTGTGTCCCACAAAACTGCTGCCTGGAATTAAAATGACTGCATTTTGAGGCCTCTGTCAGGCTGAGCTTCAGTGGCATTCCTGGACTTTGCAAGCCTTGCCGTTGTAATCACTCCTAGAACACTTCAAATCCCTTCTACTTTTACTTGCTCTTTAGACCCTGCAGTTCTGTTTGGAATTCTGAATTTCATTGCCTTGTGCCTGTGCATTAAACCTACTTAAATTCCTCTGAAATTCAGACACCTCGGGCCTGCCAGCAGCTGCTGCACCTCGCTGCTTTGCCTGTTGCAATTCACACGTTCTCTTTTTGTCCCTCCTTCTTCTGTAGGATTGGAGGGGAGTCCCTGGCAGTGGCCCAGAACACCTATGCAGTGAGCTGGTTCAAAGGCAAGGAGTTGAACCTGGTGTTTGGGTTACAGCTCAGCATGGCCAGAGTTGTAAGTGCCTTTCTTTCATTTGTGGAGCTGAAAGGGCTTGTGGCTCATCAGGGCAGGTGGAGAGGGACATTCTTTATGGCTGCTCTAGGGTGGCTTTGTCCCTCTGCCTGGTTCTAGTGGGATTTGTTTTTGTTGTGATCACTTAACCAGCTGCTAGAGCTGCTTTTGTGGCTGGGTTTACACTGCTAGACCAGCTGAGAGAGAAGAGGGGAGCTGTGCCTCTTTTTTTGGGGTCATCTTCAGCCCCCTGGCCTGTACTGAAGCCCTGCAGGTATTTTCTGTCACCTGGGTGAGCAGTGGGCTGGTCCCAGCTGGGCTGGCTCTTGTTCAGGCTGTTCATCAGCAGTTCCCTCATCTCAGCTGACCTGCTGGGAGCCCTGGGATTGCAGCCATGGATCCCTTCCTTGGAGGGGAGAATTCTTCTTCCTGGGGTCTGTCAGGTGGGAATCCTGTTTGCTCTGCTACATTAAATTCAGCTCAATTTAGGAGCTAATGCACTGTGTGAGGGGGGGTTTTGTGGCACTTCCAAACTCCTCATGGAAACACTGTAATAACTGGGTAAAATTTAATTTGTGATGGTTTATTATTGTTGCAGTGATTAATTTGTTGCAAACCAGCAGGGAATACTTTCATCCTTGTTCCTGGTGTTTAAGTTCCCTGTTTAGCATCTTTACCTGTTCAGTAAGCAGGTCTGCCTGATTTAATATAACTGCTCTGAATTAATATAACTGTGAAATCAATTATTCCTCACATGAATCTGTTCTGCCCAGGGGAGCACAGTGAACATGAATATCATGGGATGGGTCTACTCCAGAGTTCAGGATCTCCTGGGTTACCCTGGTCCCAGCACCCTGGGCTTGGCCCTCATGATAGGTCAGTAATGTTTGGGTTTTGGCTTCCTGAATTTGCCCTGCATGCATGTTGATGCTTCATTAAGCATTTTAACTTTACAGATCTGACAAAAGCTCCACTCTTTGGGCTTAAAAGCCAAATTCCAGCCGAGCTGTCAGCTGACCATGTGGGGTTTCCCTCCTGCAGGGGGTGTAACCTGTCTCTTCTCCCTGACCTGTGCATTAATCCTGGCTTACCTGGACAGGAGAGCAGAGAAGCTGCTTTGTAAAGAGCAAGGGAAAACAGGTAAGTGCTGGGGATGGACCTGCCCTGGGCTTCAGTCTCCTGGGACAGCCCCTTCCAGTTCCCCTGCACTCTGCAGGATTGCACTTGGGGTGATCCACTGAGCTGCTGCTCAACATCTTCATGGTTATAATCACAATTTTCAGTTCATTTTTATGTCACTGGGAAGTTTTACAGTTTTGAACACCAGTTTAACCTGGAGGAGGCTCCAGACAGGAGTTTTGGCAGCTGATCCAACATTTCCCTGGCAAAGTATCTTTAATTCTGCTGCCTGAGACTTTGAGAGGTTTGATCCATCAGCTCGGTGTGGGAGGGACAGTTTGGTCATGGCTTTGGTGTGTTCTTCAGTGACTCCCACTGTGGGAACTGGGACAGGAGGGTGACAGGGATGAGCTTTAGCAGGGACTTGGGAGCACCTGGGTGTTTTTTAAGGGTGGGCAATCCCAGGTTTGGCTTGTGCTGACTGAACCTGTGGTGTCTCCTCCAGGGGAAGTGATCAAGCTGACGGATGTGAAGGATTTCTCCTTGTCCCTGTGGCTCATCTTTGTCATCTGTGTCTGTTACTATGCAGCAGTTTTTCCTTTCATAGGACTCGGGAAGTAAGTGCCACTCACTTATCCTGCTTTTCCCTTGGAATCTGGGCAGACTTTTAACTAACTCCTTGAGAACTTTGCGTTTTTCTGCTGAGCTTTGTGGGAAATGCCGGTGCTGGACGTGGGCTGAGCTCAGAAGCTTGAGGAATGTTTTATTTCCTGATTAAAACCAGGCACAGATTTAAAACTCGGTGTGGAATTTGGTGTCCTGTGGAATTCCTTCCATGCTTATAAGCTCAGTATTTGGGTTATAGGTTGGTTCTGTACTTTGGATATTTTTCCTCAAAGTGTAACTTAAATGGTCCTTACACAAAAATGTGTGGAGTCTGATAAAAAGCTCCTAAATCCATTATAAATGAGAATCTGTGATATTTATATCAAAGCTCTATTTAATTTTCTGGGAAAGTGGGTTCTTGTGTCTTTGTCTATCTTAATATTTATTTCTTGTCCTTCATTTGTACATTTTCTTGAATCTTTTTTTTTTTTCTTCCTTCAGGGTTTTCTTTATTGAGAAATTCAACTTCTCACCCCAGGAAGCAAGTGCAATTAACAGGTGTGTTGGGGTTGATCTCAGCTGGTTTAATGAGTAACACTGCCACTTTCCAGGGGTGCAGGATGGATCTTCGGGCCCTGAGCAGCGGGAGGAGGTTTGGGGTCTCCTGTTGAAGTGGATAAACAGATTTCACGTGGCCCAGGGGACGACTGGGAGGTGTGGGTGTGTTTTTACTAAGGAAGTCTCAGCTCTGTCATCTGTGTTTCCCCAGCATTGTGTACATCATATCAGCCCCTATGTCCCCGGTCTTTGGCCTTCTGGTGGATAAACTGGGCAAGAACATCATCTGGGTTCTGTGTGCTGTGGTGACCACTCTGGCCTCTCACATCATGTTGGCTTTCACCTTCTGGAACCCCTGGATAGCAATGGTAACTGTTTCTTGGAGGTTGATAGATAGCTAAATGTGATTAAACAAGCCACGGAGCTGATGCTGAATTGTTGTGTCTGTTTTGAGGAGGAAAAGACTCCTTACTCTACAACTAAATTACTATGCTGCCTGCTCAATTTTCTCCTAAAGCTTGCTATTTTATTATATTTCTGAAGCTTGTTAGTATTATTTAAACTGCCCTGTGCTGTATTGGATCTGGCAAACCTCAGCAGAAATCTTCATTGCTGATTTCCCCTTCCTAGGGCAGATTCCCTGAAAAATTGCTTGTGGACTGGGGTTTAAGGTGCTCACCAGGGTCAGGCTTTAAAAACAGGCTCCCTGTTTTATCAGCTGTTTCATAGGAGTTGCAGCATCAATCTTAATGCTAATTAATGCTCTTTAATGCTAATTAATAGAGTCTTTAGTGCTACTAAAAGAGCTTGTGGGTCACTCCTGCATGAAGTTCTCTCTCCTAAACGTGCATATTTATTTAGAGTGCTATTATAAGGAGTGTTGCTCGAGCTCTGTTTTTCACTTCTGGGAGAAGGGGGAAGACCAGTATGTAAATTTTTGAGCCCCCTGCAGCAGAAATGCACCTCACCTGACCCTTGTTTCTCATTGCTGTGTCCCCAGTGTTTGCTGGGGGTGGCCTATTCCCTGCTGGCCTGTGCCCTGTGGCCCATGGTGGCCTTCGTTGTCCCGGAGCACCAGCTGGGAACTGCCTATGGCTTGTGAGTACCTGCACTGGCTGGCTGTGCTGCTGCTGGGGTCCAGAGGGGCACCAGGACACCCCAGGGAAGGCTGGCACAGCTGGCATTGTTCAGCCTGGAAGAGGAGAGCTTCAGGATGACCCAACTGTGGCCTTCCAGGACCTGACTGCTGACAAGGGATGGAGGGACTGGGCAAGGGGGAATGGCTTCAAACTGCCAGAGGGCAGGGTTAGATGGGATATTGGGATGCAATTCCTGGCTGGGAGGGTGGGCAGGCCCTGGCACAGGTTGGCCAGAGAAGCTGTGGCTGCCCCTGGATCCCTGGGAGTGTCCAAGGCCAGGTTGGAGCAAGCTGGGCTGGTGGGAGGTGTCCCTGCCCATGGCTTGGGGGTTACACAAGATAACCTGTAAATTCCCTTCCCAGCCAGCCCATTCCATGATTCTCTGCAGTGGCCCTGCCCCCATGCTCCTGACCCAGGAATATCCAGCAGTTCTGAGGCGTCAGTGGGTCCCAATTCCCACGGGTTTGTGGCAGGAGGAAGTTCTGGGTCGCTCAGGATGTGGGGGTGGGAGAGGCACAGAAACTTCTGCAGAACTGGGGAGTCAGGACTGTCACGTGCCAGGCAAGTGGGGGGAAGTTCATCTTCATCTCCCTGTCTGTGCTCAGCATGCAGTCCATCCAGAACCTGGGGCTGGCAGTGATTGCCATCGCAGCTGGCATGATCCTGGACACAAGAGGATATTTGTTTCTGGAAGTTTTCTTCAGTGCTTGTGTTTGCTGTAAGTATTAAACACTCTGAAAACAGAGTCTGTGCATTCAGGGAGCTTTATTAGGCTCTATTTCTTAATATTTCCTGTAAGCCAGTAATAACTCCTCTCTTAGAGGCTTCAGCTGGGGCAATACTGAAAGTATCTCAAACTTAGTGAAAGTGTTCTAGTGGTTTATTGAAGTGACTTGGTGTAATAGTTTGTGTTTCAGGAAAATGTAGTAAAAGGGTAGAGAGATGATACTTTTACAGTTCATGTTCATGGTGGCTGTTTATTAATGTAACTAATACTAAAATAATCCTTTCTGGATTACCAGATTTAGTGGGAATTTCAAAAGCAATTAAGAGATGCTGGTGGAAAACCCTCCTCTCAGTTACAACCACCATGAATATTTAATTGTTACTTAGCTGTAGGTTAAAGCTGTTCCTCTGTCCTTGCAGCAGTTCCTGTCAGCTAAAACTGTTCCTTCTCTGTTTCAGTGTCACTGATAGCTGTGGTCACGCTGTATTTTGTGAATCACCTCACAGGTAAGGGTCTGCAGCTGCTTTTGGTATTTTTTAATCATAATTCTTGGAGTTCTCAAGGGTACCTGTCCTTTGGCTCACTGGGACACTTTAAACCCTGGAACTCTGTGGAGGATACTCTGCAGGTGTTTCTATATTAGGAAAAAAATCTGGTTTTATTTCTTATCAAAGTGGAGTGTACATGAACCTGTGAATGTAAAAACTGAACTGTTTCCTTAGTTTGGGTCCTGGCTTTGCTTGCTCACCTGGTTAAGAACACGCTGCTCTTTCTCTTTACCTCAGTTCCTACTTCTGTAAAATCACCCCCCTGATTCCTCCAGTGCTCTGAGAGCTCCTGCAGCGAGTTGTGCTATCCCAGCTACAAAACAAGGCCAGCTGGGAGGGTTTCAGGGTGCTCATTTCTCCCGTTGCAGGTGGGGACCTCAACTGGTCTGCAAAGAAAAGGGAAAAACTGCAAAAAGCAGCTGCCTCTGAGTAAGTACCAAAGCCAGAAGATGTCAGTGGAATGTTGAAGCTGAAGAGGTTCAGTAGATCCCTGTGTGAAGTCAGTCCCTCCTGCTGTTGGTGGTGGATGTTGTTTTCCCTCTCACCAGTCAGCAGCAGGATTTCCTATTCCTGCCTCCTGGGAGGGAACATTCAGAGGAGGTGGCAGCAATCAGGTGTCCTTTCCTGGCACTCTTCCTTGCTATTTCCCTTTATTTCAGTGGCCTTCCATCTGAAATGTGTTTAAAAATGCTGTATTTCTTATTTAAAACTGCCTCATTCCTGTGGTACCTGAGCCACTCAGCAGCAAACATCACTGGCTTTAGTGTCAGCTGTAGCACGGACCAGATTTAAAAGTGGCACCAAAAGGCCAGATCTCCCTTTGGAAGGAATGACAAAACTGATCCCATCCATGGAATTCCAGCTGTGGGCTTTACCAGGGTTTTGGTTCTTGTTCTTTTCACACACCAATCTCCAGGAAAACTCAGGGGAAACTAAGACCTGCTGAGTTTTCTGGCTTAGTCCTCACGAGTCTCATCCTCCAGCCAAAAGCTCCCAGGCAGTTGTTAACACAAATCCAACAAAAATCCCCCAAAGCTTGGAATTCTGTGGCCTGCCTGGCCCAGGTGGGGTGTGTGCAACAGCTCCAGTGTTTCCTGGGGGTGCTGGGGGATTTACTGCCTTGGACCAGCCTTGTCAGGACTCTCCAGTACTGAACCTGCTTGATTTTCTTTATAAATACTTCCATTTTTTTTCAGAAAAGAAAGTTGAATAGCAAAAGGCATCCCGGAGTGGGGGAACTCTGCTCAGCTCCATGGCAGCTTGAAGAGTGCCAGTGTTTAGTTTGCACCCTGAGGAAGATTAACCACCAGCTGGGGGTGGGGGTTACAGGCAATGCCTCAGTTTTCAGCTTTGTAACCACTTTTAATTAATGCCAAATCATCTTTGAATTGGGTTTAGAGCCTTTTGCACTGTGCTGAAGCTCTGCCAGCCAAGGCAAGCAGGTTCATTTAGGACATTTTGTATCAGACTTTTCTGTGCTGCACGTGGTGGTGGGGTGGAGATTCCTGCCTCAAATGGCATTGTTTGTTCTGTGAGGAAGCTCAGCCAGAGCTTGGGAAGGGGTCACTGTTGCTGCTTTTGTCACTGTCTTAATGCAAACCACTGTCTGAAGGGTGTTCACAGCCTGGGCTCTGGTTCTCTTTGACACTCACATGGAAAAAGAGTTACAAATAATCGGGTCAAATTGCCTTTTTTTTTTTTGTAGGAGATTTAAGAATTCTGCAGGCTGCTGAGCAGTCTGGTATTGCCTTCTTGACACTTGATTCTCTTTGTATTGTAATCTTTATTTCAAGGGGAGGGGAACTTGTTGAATAGCCAGTAAAAGCTGTTACAGAAGCTCCCTGAGCACGTTGTAATCTGTGGGAAAAAAACCAAAACAAACAACCCAGAAGGTTTCTCTTTCTACTGAAATCTTGGAATCTAAATAAAAGGAAACTGCAGAAAACAGCCTCTCTCTTTCTTTATGTTGAATTGGGGTTACCCAGACACATCTGAGTGTCATTTAATCTGATAGCCACGTTAAAAACAGGCATTAAAACTAAACCTGCACCCACCAGGGTTTGCACTACCAGTGCAAATATCTTAAACCAGTTTTCTTTTGCAGAGCAGAAGAGCAGGAGAGACTCAGACGTCAGAATGAAGATGACTTGGCTAAATTACTGCCAAGAGCTGATGACTTTAGTTTAAGGAATAAATACCTCTCCAGACTGGGAGCTCAGGTATCCATAACACAGCAGGGGGCTTAGAAGTGAGGACAGAACTATGAGATCTTTATTTTTAAGAGCTTGGATGTTGCTTCTAAGAGCCAGCAAATCAACCTCTCGCTGCAATCCAGGAATAAGAGTTAATTAAACACCTAATGAGGGAAACGAACCAAAGGCTGGCGAAGCAAATAAGTTGAGGGGCAACTTCTTGTGATCCCTGATGTCTTAATTTTATTGTCTTGCAGCTCCCAGATAATTACTGCTCCTCTTTATCAACCCTGGCACACAGAAGCGTGTTGAAATAGCAGCCTGGCCCTGTGGAAAATCCGGGAACGCCTTGAGTTTTCCTGGGACACAACCCCAGCACGAGCAGCAGAGCGATGCTCCCGGGCCTTGCTGCAGGACTAGAGCCTGGGTTTGGAGTGCCCAGCTCCAAATCCTGGCACTGGAGGTAGTTTAGAGAGCCCCTGCTGAGGAATCTGTTGGTTGGAATCTGCTCCCTCCTGCCTGTGAGTAGCTGAGTCAGCAGCGGGGCTGGACCTGCCTGGTGTCTGCTGTAACTGCTGGGAGCTGAGCCTTGTTGAGCCTCTCACACTGGGGCACCTTTGTTACTCCTGGCAGCGCCCCTGTTTTTCATTTTTCCTGTAGGAAAAAAAGGGAGGAAAAACTCCCCAGGGAATATTTGAGTGGAGGCTCCACAGCTGAGGGAGGGCCAGCCCTGGGTCAGCCACCCAGCAATGCCCTCGGGTGGGTCCTGAATCGTGGCAGAACTGCTGTGTTTTTAACAGGCTCTGGCTCAAAACTGGGACAGGAGGGAGCTGCAAGAAGGGGCTTTTGCTTTCAGTAGGAAAAGTTCCCGTTTTCCCCGTGGAACTCGACCCTTCCCCCTCGTTTCAGTGGCAGGCTCAGTGCTGAGCGGGGAGTTCCTGGGGGCTGCTGCAGAGTGCACTTTGTTCGTGTTTAATTACTCATCAAGGTAATTGGGTAAGATACTCCTCGGCTGAGCTGAGCTTGCCTTACAAAGCAGGAGTGTGTGGCTTTGTGGAGCACGGGGTGTGCAGGGATGAGTTCCTTGGCTGATTCCAGGGAGCCCTTTTGTGCCTCACAGGAGCTTTTGGTAAATTGTTTGACTTTGCAGAGAAATAGTTTGATATAATAAAAATGTTATTTTATGCGTAGAATACGTTTGTTTGTTTGTTTTCCCTACAGTAATTTAAGCAGACCTGGAATTCCTGGTCTTAAGATTTCAGTGGAGATTCTTTCATGTTCCTTAAAAACTGAAATCATCTCCCTGAAGGACTAAAGCCAGGAGTATTTTGGTTGATAATTTTGGGTACTGAGGGACAATTGAGGAGTGAAGCTGCTGCCCAGGGGAGCCCTGAGCTGTGCTGGTTTGTGCTGGTGCTCCCTGGGCTCCCCTGGGATCTGACCTCTGACAGGCTTGGTACAGCTTGCTTTGTTTCCCTGGAAACTTGGGAATTCGGGGTGTTTTTTCATAAAAAGCTTGCAATGGACACTGGCACCTGTATTTTTGGACTGTTCAGCCATGGGTTGTTGCCTTTGGTGATGTTTCCTGAGCAAACCCAACTCCTGCTTCCCCTGAGTGGGAAGAGTTTGAGGGAAGGTTTCCCCCGGTGATGGGTTGATGCATTTTTCTTGGAGTGAGGGGGGGGGAATTAATTTCTTGTTCTCCAGGCACAATCTGAGTGTGGAAAAGGGGTTTAGCCCTCCCTGGGTAGTGCTGTAAATGTTTTACTGATCTCACATATCTCAGAATCTCCTTGGCTTTGAAGTTACTGTACCACTTCCTTCATAACCTGCTGCATGGATTAACTGCAGTTCCCAAATGGCTGGGGAGCACTTTTGGAAGTTGGGGGAGGTGGGAGAGATGGAACTGGGGGGGCAGAGGTGGAGAGGGACGTTTATCCCAACAGGTGTTCCCGTTTTCTGGGATATCTGTCACTAGAGGTCAGCACTGCCACGCTGCTGGGTGAGGAGCGTGTTCTGGATTGGGATGAGGAACCTTCAAGGATCCAACTGCTGGCACTTCTGGCACTTCCTTACATGACCTGGCCCTGGCACAGGGTGCCCAGAGGAGCTGTGGCTGCCCCAGGATCCCTGGAAGTGTCCCAGGCCAGGTTGGAGCAACCTGGGCTAGTGGGAGGTGTCCCTGGCCATGGCAGGGGGTGGCACTGGATGGGCTTTAAGGCCCCTTCCAACCCAAACCAGTCTGGGATTTTATGATTCCATGGAATAGGGTCCAGTTACTGAGTGGTTTTGGGGTGTCTGGAGCAGCTTTGTGTGTCCCAGCTGGAAGGAACCCCTGGAGCAGCTCCATCTGGGTCCTGTAGCTGGAGCTCCAGGAGGAAAAGCTCCTCATCCATGTAGGATTTGGGGCTGGAATCTCTTTGTGCTGCAGGAACCAGAAGGAAGGAGAGAGTTCCTGTCCTGCTTCCTCTGCACAGGCAAAGCTGCTCTTCTGGCATTTCCAGAGAGCATCTGTGGCTCTGTAAACAAGGGGCTGCTCCTCAGATGATTGGAGTGATGTTATTACAGTGCCTTAATTAATTGCCTTGTTTACATGTTGACAGAGCTCTGCCTGGGCAGGGGAAGCAGCTGTGGATGGCACAGGAATTCAGGCTGGAGCTGCCACCCCCCAGCTCTGCTCTGCCTGGGATGGGGAAGGAACAGAACAGGCCACTCCAGATGAAGGTGAGGGAAGGAACAGGGGGGAGCAGATCCATGGGAAAATCCCAGATATCACTTAAATCCTAGTGGGAATTCAGTTAAATTGCTTAACCCTGAAGATTTAAGAACTTCTAAAATAAAATCTGCTTTCTTCACAGCCCAGGTGATCATTAGGTATTTTTGAGTATTATTTTACAGTTTTAGATACATATTTTTGGGGGTTGTTTCCTAGCAGAGCAGTTGGGAACAAATCAGCTCAGATCTGTTGGGCAAGGTGAGGTCTGTGGGGAAATTGTGTCCTGAAATGCCTTCCTGGTGCTCCCTGTTGGATTCCTCTGTGCCAGGTGCCCTGGTGGAGCAGGTGGGACCAGATGACCCCCTGTGGGACCTCCCCCAGCCTGTGGTTCTGTGGATCCCAGTCAGTGTGTTTGGGTAAATCAAACCTTAAACCATCTTGTTGCTTTAACAGGTTTGGGGTGCCCCTCGTTGACCCTCCTGCATTTCAGACCCACCACGGGCATGAGATTAAAAGTACAGCTTGACTTTCCAGCCTGTCAGGAGCTGTGTTGCTCCTCAGAGCTCCCTAAAGTGAATTCTCCAGTCTTTTTAATCTAAAACCCACTCAGAGCAGTTTTTAGTGAGACCAGAGGTGCTATCCCAGTGCTTGAAATCTGTCACAAGTGATGGGCACACACATGAGCTGAGGGAAAGCTGAAGGTGTGGCATTCCCAGGCTTTCATTTCAGTGCCAGAGCTCTGCATTTGGATTGATTTATTTCCATGCCAGCGGATCCTGCCATAAATACACTGATTTATAATGTATTGACTGCCAGGTCAATGTGATTTTAGAGCTGACTCCAGGAAAAACCTCCCACTGCTGGTGCTGAAACACAACACTGGGTTGTGCTGCAGGGGAAACCACAGCAAATCCTCTCTTTCCAAGACCTTTTGGAATGGCTCCCAAAATGAGGGACAGCAGAGGTCACCTGGCTTGGGGTGGAATTGTTTGGGATTTTCAGGGAATCAGGAGGCTGAGCAGGGGGTTTGGAAATACCCTAAAGTTGCATCCACACTCCAGAGCAGGTTGGCCCTTGGGGTGGACAAGGGGAATGGATTCCCACTGCCAGAGGGCAGGGATAGATGGGATATTGGGAAGGAATTCCTGGCTGGGAGGGTGGGCAGGCCCTGGCACAGGGTGCCCAGAGAAGCTGTGGCTGCCCCAGCCCTGGGAGTGTCCAAGGCCAGGCTGGAGCAACCTGGGCTGGTGGGAGGATCCCTGGAAGGAACTGGATGAGCTTTAAGGTCCCTCCAACCCCAACCATCCCATGGTTATGGCATCACTGGTCACTTCCATGGGCACCTTTGGGGACATTTGTGTCTGGGTATGAGTTATGTAAAGGTGTCAGGGAAGAATTTCTTTTCTTTCTCCTTTTGCCCTGCGTGTTTTCACTCTCCCTTTGCACAGCCTGCTGATACAAAGGGTTTATTCATGAGCTTAACCTGATTACTGCCCTCAGAAACAAAGCCTGGCTTACAGTGAATATCCTTTTGATATCCATCATCTGAATATTGCCTAATAAAGTTAGCAAATGGCCTCCAAATGAACCAAAAGGATTCAGTGGCTCATCCAGCAAAAAGGAAAAAAAAAATGGATCAGGGTTTTACCCAGGCTGCCAGAAATGTTTAAAATTCTCAGTGCATGGCTTTGCTGGGGGATTAATATGCATTTTTTTTTCCTGTCTTGAGATGAAAAACACCGTCTGGATTTAATGCAACCCTTCCAAAATTGCTGATGTGAGTCTGGGGGAGAGCTGTTTTATAAACACACCGGAGGGTTTAGCAGAGGCAAAGTTCACTTTGAGGAGCTGCAACCCTGGTAATCAGGAGCTGAAATGTATTCCTGGATTTGCAGGACTAAAAGGCAGGAATTGAGGTGCCTTCCTGTATTTTTTCCTTGCCTGGAACAAAGGGGATCCATTTTTCATGGGAAGCAAAGCTCCCAGGGCTTGAGTTGGCTCTGGGGAGATAATTAAGAGGGATCAATAAATAGTGATGGATCGAGTTTTGGCCTGCCTGGCTGGGTCCCTGACTGGCTCAGCTGCTGCTGCAGTCACCTCCCAGGATCTCAGGGCTGGGTTGACCCAGGGAATGGTTTTACAGAGTCATGGAGTGATAGAATTGTTAAGGCTGGAAAAGATCTCACCAAGTGCAGCCATCAACCACGTTCACCACCAGACCACGTCCTCAGGTGCCACATCCATGTGGTTTTTGGGCACTTCCAGGCACGGTGACTCCACCACTAAACTTTCTATTCAGTCAGATTTCTCTGGGGTTTGTGAGAACGCTGGTTTAAAAGCCTGACCTAAAAACTGGTTTTAGCCCTTGCTGACACTCCTCTCCAGGTCAGTATTCCAGGTCAGTATTCCTTGTTCTGCCCTTCCACAGCCTCCCCAGGGTTTGGGCACGGCCCCAAGGCTGCCAGAGCTCCAGGAGTGTTCAGACAACGCTCTGAGGGACAGGGTGGGATTGTTGGGGTGCCCTGGGCAGGAGTTGGACTCAATCTTGGATATTCTGTGACTCATCTTGTTGAATTTTGATGCTGCCTACCTGCCTGGATCTTCCAGGTGTGTGTGAAGAAGGCTGGGACAAGTCTTCATGTTCTTCATCTTGGACTGGGATAATTGAACTAAATTCTGACATATGCTCAGTGGGAAATGCTCTTTTCCAGGAGCTCATTGCAGAGTGTTCTGATGGTCTGGCTGCTCCTCTGGGTGCCACAGTGCAGCTCTGAGCAGATGGTGTTCAGTGCTTCACAGGGAAAACCAGGATTTCAGTTCCCTCTTGAAAGGCTCTGTGGCCTGGAAGGAGCTCTGGCAGTTTGGCATCTTTGTGCATTAACTCTGATTTCTGTCCTGGCAGGTTCCCACCTGCTCCAAGTGCCACTCCCACCATCCCATTCCCTGCCTGCTGAGTGCTGGACGAGGAACTGGAGCCAACTGGAGCTTAATGGGATCTTGCACCACTTTTAATGGTGATTTATGGGTATCCCAATGGGATATCTGGACACACTTAATACCCTCCTGATGACACAACAGCCCTGAAGGTGAGTGCTGTCCCAGAACTGCCCCTGCCCACCAGCTGCTCTTACACTGCACTTGGTACAGATTTTTATAATTAGAAACTTATTTTTTTTCCCCCCTGAGCTCCAGTAGCTCTTAAATAAAAAAATTGATCCCGGGGAATTATATTGTTGAATATTAAAGTCAGTATTTATTTGCAAAGAGCCGCTTTGGGGGTGCCTAATTTGTCGAGGTTTTCTGCTCAGGCTGCAAAACGGTGCCATAAAACTCAGTGATTGATGTTTATGATCAGATTAAATGGTTTAGCTGTGGGGATCAAAGTTATAAATCCCAGCCCTCCCCAGGCTGGGATTGGCCACCAGAGATCCTGCCAAGTGCCAGCGTTTTTTTAATGAGCTCGTTTATTTTCCCGGC